CTCCTTCTCCAGCAAAGCATCTGGTGGATTTGAACCGCTAACCTCTCAGATTGCAGTGCAGCTTCTTGCCACTAGGCCACCAGAGCTCACTATTATATGCTATTATCATGTTATAGATAAACATAAGAATTTTTTTAAAAGAGAACATTAAACATATTACTAGTATTCCTTATAATCCCCAAGGACAAGCTAAATAGAAAGAGCTAATGTGACCTTAAAAACTATGTTGAAAAAACAAAAATGGGGGAGATGGATAGGACACATAATATCTCCTCAAACTATTTTACAAAAAGCATTATTTACTTTAAAATTTTTTCATTTCTAAAGAAAAACACATTGAAAAACATTGGATAGTACAATCAATCAAAGAGCTGACTCAGCATATATATTTTAGAGACCCTCTAACTAATGAATGGAAAAAGGATTTGTCATTCATTGGGGTCGAGGACTTGCTTATATTTCTACAAGCACAGAAACACTATTGGTCCCATCCAGAAACGTGAAACCCCGAGATAAACCAAAAGAGGACATATTCGACAAAGATAGAATCGCGGAATGGATGAGTCGGATCACCTTAGAGAAACGACAAAAAAAGAGACTGCTACCAGAGACCAGGAAAGCGGAGACTCGGACTTAAGGCCAGGAAAAGAAGCACACAACAGAAGAGGAAAAGTGATTAAGAATATAGGGTAACAAATGTCTCCCAAGAATTTGTTTCTAGCTATACTTGCCCTTTTTCCTTATGTTTTCTTAAAAGGAGTTACTAAATAAGAGGCAGATAATTTAACTTTGATTTGTAATGAATGTTTTCTGGATACTTGTTTAAATTCTTTGTCTACCACCTAATTAGAGTGTATGTATAGATATCTAGAATTGGGTTATGGCTTCCTGTTAATTTGGGTCGTAAATGGCAGTCATCTCCTGAGATGATGCTTTTAGAGCATCTGGTGAATCAGTTATTAAAAAGAAGCAAGAGGTTTATTGAAGTATTAATTACTGCTGCCTTAGGAATCACAGCCGTAACAGTAAAGCAGCTACTGCTGGAGTCACTCTGCATCACAGTGTTCAAACAGTAGATTATATCAAACAATGGCATAGTGATTCTGAAAAATTATGATCATCTCAAAGACAAACAGATTCTGAAATCAGTTCTAGATTAAGTGATTTAGAATCGTTAGTAGTTATAATAGATGATCATATCACTAACTTACAGAGACAATTGAAGTTAAAATGTGACTGGAATACTACTCAATTTTGTGTGACCCCTGTTGTATGGAATACTGAATGATAATAGGATAAAGTTTGCAAATGTATCATGGATCATGGTAATTTAACTGATGAGATATTAAAGTTACAGCTCAAGTTCATGATACTTTTAATGAAAATTGATAAAAATTTAGTAATACTTATTTTCTGGAAGAAATAAATGAAGCAGTTCCTAATCTTTATCCTTTTGATTATTTTAAAATTTTTGGAAGTTTTTCTATAGTCATGTTTTGTCTTATAGTCCTTATTTTTGTGCTATTATGTCAAAAATAAAGAATGTAAAGGGGGAAAAAATAACAGAAAAAGGAAGAAAAGCTGTATTTGCCTTGATGACTAGGTGATGCTTAAACAACAGAGGGAGAAATGGGGATAGGTCGGCATAGTGATAGCAGGCTGCAGGTGAGATAATAGTTGGAGCAAGACCAAGGGCCTCCAGTAAACAGAGAATTCCGCCCACGCCCTCCCCCCACCCCACTCCACCTCCCACCCCGCAGGAGATACTGGATGCTCTCTGCATATAGAGAGTTCCTCCAGCCTCCCACTGGAGGAGATAATGTGTCTAAACTTTGGTCTTGATGTAAAATTAAGCTTACCCATTGTTATGTTGGCAACACTTATGTATATGAAAATATAGCCTTATGACGTAGGATTTTTTCTTTATTATTGGCTTAAACTAAATAAAAACTATAGAAATACTGGGAAAGGGACCTTTTCACAGTGCTAATCTGTGAGAGGACCTCTGTCTTAGCCTTCCTCTTTTTCAGAATTAATTTCCTCTTGTCCCTGGTTTCTTTCTGAGTTCAGTTAACAACATTGCAGTCATTGTATTAATTCACCTTGTTGAAGGTCTTTTTCTCTTTCATTGACCCTCCACCTTTCCAAGTATTATGTCCTTTTGCAAGGAATAGCTTTTCTTAGTAACATGTCCAAAGTATGAGAGACAAACTTCTCCATCTTTGCCTCCAAAGATCACTGGGGCTGTACCTTTCCCAAAATATATAACTATTTTTTTCTTTTGTTAGTCCATGGGATATTCAGTACTCATTTCCAATATGACAAATCTTCTGTTCCTTAGTTATTGTCCAGTTGTGTAGCAAGCGATTGAAAATATCATGGTCTGGATCAGGCATGCCGTAGTCTTCAAACTGACATCATTGCTCCTCAGTATTTTACAGAGGTCCCTGATGGTGGACTTGCCTGGTGCAGTACATCTCCTGAGCTCCTGATTGCTGATACCAAGGGTACTGATTGGTGACTCAAGCAAGATTAAATCACTGGCAACTTCAGTCCTTTCTCTATTTATCATGATGTTGCCTATTGACTCAGTGGTGATTCTTTAGCCAGTAGACAAATGCAAACCAAACCCACAAAAATATAACACTTCATTCCCTAGATTGGCTAAGATTTTGGAGGAAAAAACAAATATTGACAAGAGTGTAGAAAAATTGGAACTCTCCTTCATCACTGGTGGGGATGCGAAATGAGATAACTCCTGTGGAAAACACTTGTGTAGCTCCTTAAAAAGTTAAGTAATAGAAGTACTATTAAAAAAGAAAACAAAATAAATATTGTTGTGCTTGAGTCCGTTTCAACTCATGACACCATAAGAAAGAGTAGCTGTGACCCATAGAATTTCCAGCTATAGTCTTTACAGAAGCAGACTACCATATTATTCTCTCAAAGAATGGCTGATGGGTCAAGCCAAGTGCTTTAACCCTTGTACCATTCTGGCTCCTTATAACTACTATATGATCCAGAAATTCCACTTCTAAGTCTCTGCCCAGAAGCTTGAAAACAGAAATTCCTAGACAGGTGCACATCAATGTTCATTTCAACACTTCACAATAGGTAAAAGTATTGGAATATTACGCAGTGCTGAAAAACAATGCACTTGTAAAACATTACACAGAAGGACCCTGGAGCACATCATGTTGAATGAAATATCTCAGTCACAAAAGGACAAATACTGCATAGCATTATTTATAATGTTATAAAGCAGGTCTGACATGTGTGGTTGGGAAGAGAAAAGGATAAGAGTGCTTAGATAATGATCATTGCATTGGAACAAATGAAAGGAAAAAACTGCCTAAAATGATTAGGCATTACACATACAACACACAACAGCCCAGAGTAAGAAATATATCATTGCAAAGAGGACTGGGAAGCAGGGTGAGGGGAGGTGTAGGTAACTGTGTAACAGTGATTTTTTTTTAAAAAAAGTGAACTAGAGGAAGGAGAACGGAGGGTGAGGGGGTAAAATATGCAAGAATGAGTGAATAAAAATCTAACTTCTCATAGTTGTTTTATAAATTTTATTTTTAAAAAAATAGACAAAAAGCTGCTGATTCCACCACAACAAGATAAAGGTAAATAACCCAGCTGAAAAATGGGCACAGGATATGAACAGACACTTCACCAAAGAAGACATTCAGATAGTAAACAAACACATGAAGAAATGTTCAAAATCCCTAGCTGTAAGAGAGATACAAATAAAAACAACTATGAGATATCATCTCACCCCAGTAAGAATAGTAAAATTTAACAGAACAGCAAACATCAAATGCTGGTGAGGTTGTGGAGAAACCGGAACCCTTATTCACTGTTGGTGGGAGTGCAAAATGGTGCAACCACTATGGAAGGTGGTATGGCGCTTTCTCAAAAAGTTGGAAATAAAAATACCATTTCATCCAGCAATTCTACTCCTGGGAATATATCCCAAAGAGACCATAACTGACATCCAAGCATATATGTGCACACCCATGTTTATTGCGGCTTTGTTCACTATAGCAAAGAGTTGGAAACAACTCAAGTGTCCATCAACAAACGAATGGATAGAGAAGCTGTGGTGTAGTCACACAATGGAATACTATGCTGAATTGAAAAACAAGGGACTCATGCAATATTATTAAAATTATCCTGGAGGACATAATGCTGAGTGAAATATCTCAGCCACAAAAGGACAAATATTGCATAGGGACACTGTTGTAAAACAGGACTGACATCGGGGTTAAGGGAAGACTGAGAAAGAGGGGATAAATAACATATACTGCATTGAAACAGATGAGGGAGAACTATTTAAAAGGGATATACGATTGAGTATTATTGTCATGACAGGAGTCCAAAATGAAGGCTGCAGAGTGGAGTGAACTTTGCAGGGAGGGATTGTATAACAATAAAAGAGTTTTTCTTTTACTATTCAAAGAGAAGAATGAATTGGGGTGGGTGGGGTGGGCAGGGAGAAAAGTAAAACAGTGAATGAATGGAAATCCTAAGTCTCTGTAAACTTTCATTAAAATTAATTTTTTTTTTAAAAAAAAAAAGCTGTTGACTCTGTCATCTGTGCTGTGATTGCAAAATGGGGGTGGGGAGAGAGTCCATGTCTTGATTCCTGACAAGTTGTTTCTGGCACACTCTGATGTATCCGTGGATAGAAACCTCCAGAGAGGAGGGGCAGTTGTCCTCCCTCCGGGGTTTGACATGGCCCATCCCCACCCTCCAGAGTTTGCCAAGGAATTGAGCCGGCCTTGAGGAGGTCTCTATGTGCCATTCCTCTCCTCATTCTGGAAGAATGCTCAGGCCTGGCTTTGTTCCAAGATAAATTTCCCCACTGCAAGAGATAGCACAAAATCCAAGGTGAACCTAGAGCAGCTCTTAAAAAGACATCCTTGTGCCCGAGCACAACTGCAGCTCTCTACCCCACGGCTGTCCACCTGCTCCACCGGCACCCAGACACCATGTGGGAACTCTTGGCCATCTTACTACTTACTTTAGCTTACTACCTTTGGCCCAAGTTAAGGCATTTTGGCGTCAAATACCCCAAGAGTCTCCCTTTTCTGCCCCTCATAGGCAGCCTGCCGTTCCTCCCTAGACATGGACATCCTCACATCAACTTCTTCAAGTTGCAGAAGAAATATGGTCCCATCTTTTCCTTTCGTCTGGGAACCAAGACTACAGTGATTGTTGGCCACCATCAGCTAGCCAAGGAGGTGCTCATCAAGAAAGGCAGAGAGTTCTCCGGACGGCCCCACATGGTAAGCAGTACCCACTTTTCCTTTCTCTTCCCACCCCACCCTCTAGGGCTGTACTGTTCTTCAGACAAGACCATGGCTGGAATTACTCTTTCCATTCCAATACCCTGTAATTCTTCAAGACAGACTGGAAAGGAGATGGAAGGCTAGTGGCCCTTGAGACCCCATATAGCTTCTACACAGGCAGGAAAAATTAAAGGAGGTCTCTTTTCCCAGACTTTTCAGGTGGAGGGTTGGAGTGGGATAGTGAGCTGAAGTATCCGAGAGTCCTTGTTCTAGCCACCTCTCCCCTAAATTGGAGGATAATATCTCTGGACCTAGATTTCTTTAGTTAAATAAAGTACATAAAGCCTTTAGCCCAATGTCCAGTACAGTACATCCTATAAATAGCCCTTATGCATGTTACTCCTTGTCTGGGCATTGGCTTTGTTAGGACCATCCTCCCTGGGAAGGGGGCTGGCTGCTGAAGAGCTGGGATCTTTGTTTCCCTGGAGCGATCCCCACATGCTCCTGCTCATGGTGGGTGATTTGAAGCAGCATTTCAAGGATATTGATCATCCTGCTGGGCTGGTTGCGATGCACCTGAGGAGGGTGCTAACCACCCAGAAACACTGTCACTGTTTTGTTGCTAACTGCTCCAGCAGGCTTTCAAGGTTGACCTGTCCAACAGTTGACTTTTGTTTCTGTGGACCAGTCAGCCAGGCTTTCAGACAACTAACTTCACCCTCACCTGCCCTGAGCCCTTTTCTTCAGGGCAAACAGGATGGAGGGGCCTAGTCAGATGGGACTTGAGAGGGTCAAAGGATAGAAGGAAGACTTTGGATCCCTGTGCTTTTTGAGGTGCCTTTGAGGGGAGGTGGCTTCGTTCAACAAGGCACTCACACTCTCCAAGTGTGATGGACAAAGTCTTGCCTACCTCTGCAGGAGGACAGATTAATTAAAAGGGGGTGAGCTGTACCTTTAGCACCTCTAAGGGATCCAGGGAAAGGCACAGCTCTGGATTGTCCTCAATCTCTCCAAGCTGGCCGCTTCCTGTCCCCAAGATAGGGACAACTCAGATGATGTATCCCATTTATACCTGGGCAAATGAGAGGCCCAGCGGCCAGTCAATGTACTCCTGCATGCTGATGCAGGGTTCTTTCTTCTCCTCACTGTGTTGTCTCTTATGGAATTAGTAGGAGAGGAGTCAGGCTGGGTGGGACCTGCCGGTGGAACAGGGATGTCCACGTGCAGGCTTAGTGTGGCAGATACCTCTCTTCTCCCTCAGGGAGGACGAACTTACTGGACTTATTGGAAAGGTAGAGTGAATGGTGTCTTTCTACTTCCTTGCTTGCTTCCCAAAGGTGACTCTGGCCATCCTGTCAGATAACCAAAAAGGTGTCGCCTTTGCTGACTATGGTCCCCACTGGCAATTGCATCGGAAGTTGGTGCAGACTGCATTTTCCCTCTTCAAGGATGGACAACAGAGGCTGGAGAAGACCAGTGAGTACATGGGTACTTCTTGGATCCCACAAGGGCTGTTGTTTCTCTTGCAGGCTAAAGTTGGATTAAGGAGGGGAAGGAAGGGTTATGATGGGTCTGCCCAGTGTTTTCTTGGCTACCACTGCCATCTAGTGTTCACCTGACATCTAGTCCCTGCCCTGACTAAAATGCCCCTTTCTCTCCTCAGTACTTCAGGAAATCAGCTTCTTATGTGATTTCTTGGCTACGCAAAATGGACAGTCTATAGATTTGGAGCAGCCACTCTTCCTGGCTGTGACCAACGTGATCTCTATGTTTTGTTTCAACTCCTCCTACAAATACGATGATCCTGACCTGAAAATCATACACGAATACAATAAAGACATTTTGGACACTCTAGGCTCTGGCGGACTGGTGGACATCTTCCCCTGGATGAAGGTGAGAGTGAGGCCTGGCTTGTTTTCAGATCTGAGCAGACCTCAACAGCATCTCAAATTCCTCCCTCTTACCGGCCAGCTCAGACTCATTCTTTTTCTTGACCACTTCAGCCAAAGTGACCTCTATCTCCTCTTCCCTTACCTTTTGAAATCTTTGTCACTTCTCTAAATAAGGAGACAAGTTTGAAATCATGTGTTTTCTTCAAGGTTTTTAGTTTTGGTTAATTAAATAATTTTTTGTTTTATACTGGTTTGCTTACAAAGTTCTTATACATTGTTTTCCACACTATCTTCATTCACATTATGTTTCATACAATTATTCCCATTCATTATGTTTTATAAAATGAATTAACATTGACATATACTCATCCTTGTAAATCAAGCATTTTTTTTAATTTTTTTATTATATTTGTGTGTGTGTGTGTGTGTGTGTGTGTGTGTACTGTCAAATCGGATCTGACTGGTACAGGAGGAGATTGTCCCTCCTTCTCCAGCAGAGCAGCTGGTGGCTTCGAACCGCTCATCTCTGGGATTGCAGTGCAGCTTCTTGCCACTAGGCCACCTGAGCTCACCTAAATCATGCATTTTTAATAGTCTTAAAAAACATAATGTATCCCATGTATTCAGTAATGATTATCGACTTCTATTAAGGGTTCTACATGCCCTAGTCACTGAATCTCCATGGGAAGGTCCTATTAACCCCCCTCCCCCCAATGCCTTGTGCAAAGAGAAAGAGGTTCAGTGATGTTGAGGAATTTGCCTGATAAGGTATACCAAGAGGGTTTGCTGTCTCATAAGAAAAGGGAAGTGGAGATCATTCTTACTTCCTTTGTTTGGAATTTTCCTGTTAGGCATTGATGATCCCATTCGTGCCTCCATCATCCCCTCCATCTCGGTTGAAGGTTGGACATGGAGTGTGAGCTCTCCAGAAGCAGAAATCTGGGGTCTGCTGCCAAGGAGGGGATCATGGCTATTGGAAAAGCAACCTGGCCGAGGGATGCCCTGAATGTTTCTTTCTACTCCCCAGATTTTCCCCAATAAACCACTGGAGATAATGAAGAATGCTGTTAAATTACGAAACAAACTGTTGAGGAAAATCCTCAAAAAATACAAAGTAAGTGATGGAGCAGGCAGGAGTAGGAGGTGGGTTCAAAGTGTCCCAAGGCAGGGGTGGGGTGCATTTTGGATCCTGTAGGATCTTCAATGAGTCTGACATCCAGTAGATTATCAGAAAAAAGGGAGATGAGGGATTAAGGCTGGGATGAAGAGAGTAAGGAGATTAAGGGATGAGGATGGGAAAGTGAGGTACTGAAGAGCATCCTAGAAGAGTCTCACTTGCTCCCTTATCGCAATCTAAAGAGGCCTGAGTGCTACCTCTTACCTTTACAATCTCAGATCTAAACTCAGCTTCACTCACCTGCTTGCCACTTAGGTAGAAGAGGCCTTCCCATGTGCAGTCTGAGAGAGCCGCACGGTGGGAATGTTGCAGATAAGACCCTTTCCTTATTACTGTCTCTCAATTCTTTCTCCCAACTCAGGAGAAATTCAGCACTGACTCTATCTCCAACTTGCTGGATGTCCTGCTTCAAGCCAAGATGAACTCGGAAAATAATAATAACGGCCTGGATCAAGATCTCAAGTTGCTTTCAGATGAACACATTCTTACCACTGTTGGGGACATCTTTGGGGCCGGCGTGGAGACTACCACCTCAGTGATGAAGTGGATTGTGGCTTTTCTGCTGCACAATCCTCAGGTGGGTGGCATCCCTTTACTGTTTTCCCAGCCATCTCTGACCCCAGCTAACCCCACCTCAAAGTTCCAGAGAAGAGGATTTGCAATAATCCAATACCTCCAGCCTTCTGTGTACTCAAGCTGGCTGGCTCTGGCCCCATGGTGGCTCTGGTCCCATGGGGGCGTTTCCTCATCTTCTGGAAGCTGAGCCTGGGCTGCAGGGTTCTTCCCAACCTTCATCATGCTCATGACATCCAACTTGCTCTGGCCCTCAGCTGAAAAAAGAGATCCAAGAAGAAATTGACCAGAAGATAGGTTTTAGTCGCACACCAACCCTCAGTGACCGGAACCATCTCCTCCTGCTGGAGGCCACCATCCGAGAGGTGCTTCGCATCCGACCGGTGGCCCCGCTTCTCATCCCCCACAAGGCTGCCACTGACTCCAGGTGGGCCTTCTCTCCCAGTGACATCCAGTCCTACCTATGATGCGCCCAGCACTTCTAGCTTCCCCACAGCTGGCCGGCTAACCTCTAATCACCCACTGACTACTCCTACCACCCACCTGACCTATACCCAGTCTAAGCCATGTACCCACCGCACACTGCAGCCCACTAATGCTCTCGCAGCTCTACCTGACCTGCAGAGGCTGCAGAGTTTTGTTCTGGGTAAAAACGACCAGGATGCCCTTTGCCCCTCCCCAGAGCAGCAGCTGTAAGCACAAACATCCAAGCGTGTGCTCAAGAGGCACACCTATGTGCCCTTGTTTCCAGAGTCCAATACAGAAGCGTTTGTCTTCTGCAGGGCTGAAGATAGGTCAGGAGAAGGGCTGAGATCCTACTCCACCTGGCGGAGGCTGAGGAAAAGACAAGGGGGTGGGAATGAGGGACAGAAAAGGTTCTTCTTCCACGGGGGTGGGGAAATGAGCAGGAAAGGGAGGACACTATTGCAGCCCCTTTTCCTCTCCCTCCCTGGGGTAGCATTGGGGAGTTTGCTATTGAGAAAGGAACACACGTGATCATCAACTTGTGGGCGCTGCATCACAATGAGAAGGAGTGGGACAAGCCGGACCAGTTCATGCCTGGTGAGTCCCTTGTCCTGCCCTGTTCCCAGACCCCAGAGCCAGTCTGGACTCTCTGCTCTGCAATCCTCTGCCCCTCTGTCCAATTGGCTACTTGGAAACCCTTGGCTCCAATCATTACATGGACCCGGAGAGACACCCTCATCCAATATCAGACTTTTCCAAACTAGATTTTTCCACCTGCTTCCCCTGGGTGTCTCCCCATCAAGTCTATCCCTTCAACTCTTTGGTAATGACTCTTCCATCTGGCAGCACAACTTCCTTTCCATCCTTCCTCAAATCTTTCATTTCCTCTGATTCAGGGCTGCTGGAGAGCAGGGCTGTGTCTTTCCTCAGGGATGAGGTTCCCGGACAGAGCTACTCCCCGGGGCCCCTGCTTTGTCAGGTAAAGGCATGCCTCTCTTTAGTCCTGCCAGGTGTCCAGTTGATGTCTCCTTATGCCCACAGAGCGTTTCCTAGACCCAACCAGGAGCCAGCTTATCTCGCCAACGATGAGTTACTTGCCCTTTGGAGCAGGACCCCGCTCCTGTGTAGGTGAGATCTTGGCCCGCCAGGAGCTCTTCCTCTTCCTGGCCTGGGTGCTGCAGAGGTTTGACCTGGAGGTGCCCGATGATGGGAAGCTGCCCTCTCTGGATGGTAACCCCAAAGTGGTATTTCTGATCAACCCCTTCAAAGTGAAGATCAAGGTGCGCCAGGCCTGGAAGGAAGCCTGTACTGAGGGTGGAATGTAGAGGCTGCCCCCAGAGACCCTGACTCCCTCCAACATAACCTGGAACTCTGCTGGCCCACAGCATAGAACTGCAGTTATGACTCCTCAACTCCATTGACCATCCCTCCCTCCACGAGCCCACCCTTTCCCAGCCTGGAGCACGGTGTTGTACATAAATGAAAGTCTTTTACAGAAACTCCCTGAGCAGTTCATTGCTTTATTCACTCATTCTTTCAACAAATATTTTACTGAGCATCTACAACGTGTCACTTACTGTTCCATGACACTCAAATTGCCTGTTCTCATGAAGCTTACATTCTAGTGAGGGCTGACAAATACAGTTTCAAAGACTGATGCATGCTATGAAGTCCTGACTATCTCGGGAGATGTGATATGAAAATGGTCAAGGCAGGGGGTTGGCACGTTGATGAGTGATTGGGAAAGACATGAAGACCTGGGAGAAGTTCCATTCCCGAGCAAATAGCAAATGAGAAGCTCTCAAGGTGGAAGAGGGGTCAGTATGGCTAGTGCAGAGCAAATGAAGGGGAGAGTGGTCCCCAGTGAGATCACCGGGACCCCCAGTGAGACTCCCAAAGTGGGAAACAGTGGTTAGGACTCATGAAACCTTGTATTAGGAGCAGAATTTGGATTTTTAGTCTAAACATGATAGGAAGGTGATTTAGAAAGTCTGCTGTCAGAGACCTCTCCTTTAGAGTGCTAAAGAGTAATGTTATTCATCTAGAGACTAAGGTGTGCCTGATCTAGGTCATGGTCTTCTCAACTGCTTGCTATGCATCTGAGAGCTGAACAATGACTAAGGATGGCAGAAGAAGAATCAATGCCTTTGAGCTGCAGTGCTGGAGAAGAGTATTTAACACACCATGGACTGCCAAGAAAACAAACAGTTCTGTCCTAGAGAGAGTGAAACTACGTTGCTCCTTGGAGAGAAAGATTTTGGAACTTTGTCTCATGCACTTTGGGCATATTGCCAGGAGGGACCAGTCATTGGAGAAGGATGGAGAGAGAGCACAGGAGAGGAAGATCCTAGACAAGGTGGATTGACACAGTGACTGTGGCAAAAGGGGTAGGTGCTTCAGAGATGGTGAGATTGGCTCATGGTAGAGCAGGGTTCATGGGGTCTACATGAGTCATAGTTGATTAGACGGCACATAACAACAACAACAACAATGATAGGAAGTAACTGGAGAGTTTTCAATCAGAAAGTGGGATGGTTTAATTTCTATATTTAACAGAGTCTACTGGCTGATGAATAGATAACGGTCTGTAGAAGAATCATTAAGGGAGCAGGGTGAACAGTCAGCAGGCTGTCATGCTGCCTGAGAGAGAGAGGATGGTGGCTTAGACCATGGTGACAGCAGTGATGGGGGCAGGAGATAGGCCTGAAGTTCTAGTTTCAAAATACAGCAACAGATTGTTGTCTGTTTGATACCAGCATCAATGTGTATCTCAAAGGTTTGGCTTTGGTTGAGCATGTGTGACCCATAAACTCGACCCACCACTCCTCATCCTTTGTCCTTTCTGTTCATTCTTCCCCTGCATAAATATTACCTGGCAAAGACCTACAGCTGCTTTCTTGGGAAGTGCCCGGGCGCTGTACCCTTTCCCCACTGAAAAGCCCAGCAAGTCTCAAAATGCTTCAATGGAAAATGGAGCCCAGGGTCCTTTAAAAGCAGCATCTTTAAGTCTTGGCCATTGGCCAGACTGCAAGTGAAAGATGTCCTAAGATGCCCTGGAACAAAATGACCCCTTGCCCTTTAGCCTGGAGAGAGGTCCCAATCGCAGTTCCCTGGCGCCAGCCAGACCAGGGTCAGATCACCAACCCAATCCATCCCCTCTGACTGAGGATGGACTCTGAAAGGCCAGCAGAGCATTGCTGGGACCCTGTTTTGGCCACATTTTCATAGAGAGGAAATCAGAGGAGCCCCTACACAGGAGGGCAGGACGAGGTGTCCAGTGGCATCTGTATTTTCTTCCTTTGTTAATTCATAGTGGTGGACCATTCCCCCCAACTCAGTCTTGGTCTCAATTACCAGGGGTCCCAGGAATTTGCCCAAGAGCCTATAGGAGAGTTTGTCGACAGCTGTGGCTGAGCCCAATCCTCATCACCTCCAGATGAGGATAGAAGCTGACAGGGAAGGGTTAACTCCCAGACACTCTCAGCCAGCTCAAAACAGAAGGGGACAAAAGAAAGTGAAGCATTTCAACTTATTCAGGGTCTGAAAGGCATGACTAGTGACCATCAGGAGAAGATCTGCGGTTTCCATACACAGGGATGAAAACATCCACTTTAGAGGCTGAACACTGAACGCAGGGCAGTTGGACCAATCGTGCACTTCGAACATGTGGAACCCAAGGGTCACTGAGAAGAAGAGGCTTGACTTGTCCCCCAAACATTCCAGTGATACGAAGGAGGAGCCCCTTTTCTGTCCCCTGGGACCATGCAGAGGCTCTCAGGCGGGCTCGAGAGGAGAACACAGCTGAACATGCAGGAAATAACCTTCTGACCTCCAGCTCCAGCCTCAACTCTGGAAGGCCCTTCTCCCTTGACCTGATCCTCTTATCCTGAGCTCAGAGTGAAGGCTCTTCTCGGGACATATCCCATAACCCCCAGCCCACTGGGACTGTCTCCATTTAGCTCTTGGTTGTCATTTCTTCGTATTGAATCCTGTGTGCATGCCAACAACTGCCTGGGCTTGAAATGGGCTTAGTTTTCCTCAAGGATATTGTCCATTCTTTTATCACAGGGGTTCAAGGCTGGGTCCTGCCTCAGATGGCCCTTGACGTCAAGAAATAATAAATGACAAGCACACCCTGGTGTGTGTGGAGCAGGGCTACAATCCTCAGACCCAAAAACTCATTGTCATCAACTCACAGCGATCCTATAAGACAAAGTAGAATTGATGAGCTGTAACTATACATTAGCATAGCTCTGGTGGCCTAGTAAGAAACTGCACTGCAATCCCAACGGCTTGTGGTTCAAATCCACCAGCTGCTCTGTGGGAGAAAAATGAACAATCTCCTCCCGTGTGATTAACAGTCTCTGAAAACCTGCTGGAGGGTAAGATATGGGTCTGTTCCAAATCGATGGTACTCAACAACAACACAACCATACACATATCCAGGTGTAAAGAACCCCAAGAATATAGTTAACATGTAGGTAGTTGAGGGGCCGGGGGAGAATAAAGTTTTAATACTCATTATCTTTTTCTTTTTGAGGAGCTCTGGTGCTCAGTGAGTAAGGAGTTGCACTGCCAACCCAAAGGCATGTGGTTCAAATCCATGAGTTCTTCCATGGGAGCAAGATGGGCAATCTCTTCCCTTGTGATTAACTGTCTCTGAAAACCAACTGGAGGGTCAGCTGTGCGTGGATTTCAACTCCATGGTACATAATAACAACCCTTGTTTTTAATAGAATTAATTTGATTGTACATTTATACCAGTTCAGTTCTAATGGCATGTATAATAAGCAAACCCACAATATTCCTGGCAATGCAACAATCCACTCTTGGGTCAGGTAAGAGCTGGTCATCCTGTGTCACACTGGTGTGGAGCTGGGACTGATGAACCCACCATGCTGTGAGGCTGTGAATTGCACAGGAGAGGCCCATCTTTTCCCCTTGAGAAGCCACCAGTGGATTCTTTTTTTTTTATAGCTTTTATTTTTTTCCTTTTTTTCCCTATATTTTATTAATTTTCATAAACATTTACAGAGATTTTGGGTTTCCATTCATTCCTTGTTGCACTATTCTCTCTACCCTCCTCCCAGTTTGTTCTTGTCCAAATGCCACAGTGCTTGTCAAAGCCAGTTCTGATTAATCTTCTTTGTCAGTGTGTCCTTTGCCATTCCCTATCACTCCTCCCTGAGAGAGACTTCACCCTGAGTCATAAGGAAAAGGGGATGGCGTATTCTCTTAGCTACTTCCTGCTGAAAAGGGACGCTGTGGGTTTCAGGGTGAAGATCTTCTCTCACTACTCTAAAGGGCCCCTTTGGCAGCCACCAGTGGATTCTAACTGCCAGACAGGAGCCAGTTCTGGGTCAGCTAGAGAACTCCCTGCAGACTGCCACCAGTGTCCTGGGGGAGATGGGAGGACAGCAAATCTGCTCATGTCCTTCAGCTAAGGGTAAGCTCTATCCTAGTAAAGGTGTGCAGGTGAGTGGATTTGGGTGAATGATCTGGTTGACTGATGGCTCTTGATGGCTCTAAGCCTAGAGCAAATGAGGAAGCCTATCTTCAGCCACATCCATTGCTATCAAGCCCCGTAGCAAGAGAACAGGAACGCACCCAGAGGCCATGGCCTGGGACGGGACGGGCACTGGATAAGGAGGAACTCAGGCTCCCTGATTCCCCAGGCCTGAGATTTTGAGCCCACTGTTGACTTCTGTTTTTTAAATTTTGATTTTATATTGGTTTGCATACAAAGTTCGTATAAATTGTTTCACGCTATCCACTCACGTTGTGTTTCATACACTCACTCCCATGACATTTTATAAAATTAATCCTCATTGAACTAGGCCCACCATTACCCTGTGTGCTTCCTTCCTTGTAAGGTAGAGTTACGTACCAACTGCCCTGTCCGTAAGGGGCCATGAGCAGGAGAATCCAACACCAGGGAGTCACAGACAGCAGTGGGTCTCAGCTTGGCCTTCTCCAAGTGTTTTTATTTACAGAGCGATCTGCAAATTACTTGGTCTTCTTACACATCCCAGCTCTCTTGCCTAGAAGATGGGTAAGATATTCTATCTTATCCAGCCAGAGGTCCCGGAGGGGGTGCATAAAGTAGCAGCATCTCGCTGTTGCTTATTATTAAATAAGAACGTACAGGCGAGCTCTGGTGGCCTAGTGGCAAGAAGCTGCACTGCAATCCCAGCCAGAGGTGATCATAGGGAACTATGCTGCCAACCAATGGAGAATCAGGTCTCCGTTCCTACTGGCTGGCAATTACTTTGTTTATGCGATAGGTTCCATGACAAATAATAACTGTTATCATTGCATGAAAATG